GGGAGAGGGAGAAGCAGGCTTCCCGCGGAGCAGGGAGCCTGATGCGGGGCTCGATCCCAGGACCCTGGGATCATGACCTGAGCCGAAGGCAGGCGCTTAACGACTGAGCCACTCAGGCGCCCCAGATTTTTCTCAATTTTTATAGTTGTTTTGTTGGAATTGGGATTCAGTAGTGTCAGTTCTCTTTTTTTGTTGTTGTTGCTATCTATTTGTTGAGGTAATAGATAATTTCCTTCTAGGGTTTTTTGTGTTTGCATTTGGCTCTCTCCATCCTGTTGTGTTACTTACCATGTTCCTTTGTCTCTATACCTTTCCTCTTCCCATATCTCTTATAAATTTTTAGTTAGATATAGAGGCTTGATCATATTCAGACTTTATTTTGTGGAGGAGGGCAAGGATGGCAAGAGTACTTTACAAGAGTATTGTGTATTTCGTATTGCATCACATCAGGAGATACAGTGTCTGTATCCTCAGCAGCCTTTCCCTGTTGGTTATTTTAGAAGCTATTAATGATCATGCCTACATCTGTTGTTTGATAAGGGGTTACAGAATGATGGCATTCTATTATTTTGTTGGCATTTATTAGCCAGAATTCTTTCGTAAAGAAGAAATCTACCTCATCAACTGGTAATTGAAATGTAGTTTCACTTTTTGCCTTTATTACTTTTTAAAGTCCTGTCTTTTGTATACACACTTTTTGTTTCATATTTACCCATTGTTACTGAATTAAGTATGAAGTGGGTCTATTTTGGACCCTGGACTAGAAATAATAGAAATTTCTTGTCATGAGATATAATCTGACACTACCCACATTATAGGATGTATCCCATGAAATCAGTTGCACGTGTATTACATGGAAAACTACATGTATGTAGATTCTCCACCAAGGTTCAAATCTTGCCAGATGTATATTAGCAAAGTTATAAGATGTACTTATGGATGATTATATTCCTATATGAACTTGAAGAAAATAAATTTTAATTTTTTTCTTTATAGCTTTTGGACTTCTTGGATCAGCATCCGTTTTCATTTACTCCTCTAATTCAGAGATCACTGGAATTTTCTGTAAGCTATGTATTTACGGAAGTTGGTGAAGGCGTTACATTCGAACGATTCATTGTTCAGTGCATGAATCTTATTAAGATGATTGTTAAAAATTATGCTTATAAGCCATCCAAAAATTTTGAAGGTAATGCCTTACTGGCAGTTTTTTCCCCCATTATTTCAAATGTGAAGTAATTGCTATTTTTATGTATTTGAAATTCATTTACTTAAGTGTGAAAAATAAAATGTTGCTTGGACATGAAATAGAGGTAAGGATTAGAGACTTTAATATGTGAGTGCCAGCTTTAAAAGCCATATAATGGATTTAGTAAACTATCTTTTGTAGCACAATAAAAGGTCAGTTGAAGGCTTGGGACTTTAAGAATTAAGTACTCCAATAACCACTGCAGTTCATGTTGTAAGCTGAATTTATTTGTACAATTAAAATTTTTCTCTGATTTTAGTGAGGTTACTTCTAGACATTGGATTGCATTCATGTGCATGTGTACCAAGATGAATGAGGAGTTCTTGTAGGAGAGAGAAAGACATATGTATCTAAGTCACTCCAATATGGTGTGATAATACAGCACGGGGATGTACAGGCTGTAGTGGGAGGACAGCTGCAAGACTGCTGTGTGTGGTGTGAATAAAGAAATGTCTTTGAAATTTGCCCTTAAGAAAAATGAGAATTTATACACCACTTTATCTTCTCCCCCAAGAGTGTATTTTTAAATTTATTGAAGTTACATAATCCAACTTTGGTAGAATCTTTGTATGATTAACTTGGAAATTTTATTTTTCTAGATAGCAGCCCTGAAACTCTAGAAGCTCATAAGATTAAGATGGCATTCTTCACATATCCCACTTTGACAGAGATATGTAGAAGATTAGTCTCTCATTATTTTCTGCTAACTGAAGAGGAACTGACAATGTGGGAAGAAGACCCAGAAGGCTTTAGTAAGAATCAGGTTTTCAGTTTCGCCTGGCTTTTCTCCTCCTTCCCTAAATATGTATCATCTATTTGAACGATAGGCATAACAACATTGTGTTTTAATATAGCACTTCTGATCTGAGAATCTTGGCTTTTAAAAGTTTGTTATCTGTTAGAACAAATTGAGAAGCAGAAAATGAATGATTTTTTCAAATACATGGAGTTTTCTCCAGAAAGATACCTTTTAAAATTTTTAGATATTCCTGTGAACATATGATATATAGTTTAAAACAAAAGTATAAAATAAACTACCTGTCTCTGTTATCAGGTCAGTTTGTACTTTGTGATTCATTCCATCTTATTTTTTATTAGTAGACATTTTTATTTCAAAAAGAAATTTGGAAAATTACTGAATTGCTGAATAGATCACCTACTTAAATTTTAATTTTAAGGTGAATTTTTTGATGCTTAAAATGTTTTTCTGGGAGATCTTTTTTATCTGTTTGAATTTTAATAATAGAATAAAAGTAGCAAGGTCCTTGCTACAGAAAATCAAGAAATTATGTGTCTAATAAAGTACCGGTGTGTGAATAAAGTGCCTGTGTTTTACTTAAGCCATCCTCAGACATAGGCTAGATTTTAGGCTCTCCTCATCCCTTTGACTGGGTGACTTTGTGTAGTTCTATTCATACGTTTCCTAAGATTTTAAGAATGCCTCAGATATTTTGGAAGACTTGTCTTCGCCCTCTTTTTGTTATTTAAAAATCATTTTAGTTCATTTAGGAAATACAGCATTACACTATATGTATCCTATTTTATTTTTGCTTTTTCTCTTAGCTAAAATCTTAAGTTTCATATTGCTTTCTTTATGCAGTGGATATAATAGTATAATATGACACACTGAATTCTTAGATTTGTACAAGTCCCTGAAGTATTTTACTTTTTTAAAAAATTTAAATATAGAACATTTTTGAAAATGTTACTAATTATTTTAACTTATAAAACGTTGTTATATTGAAATGAAATAATCTCAGGATTATAGTTATATTCGAGTGCTTACTGTGTGCAAGTCAGGTGATATCACTTACTCTGGAAGTGACAAAGCCCTTTGAGCTTTCCTCCATAGAGAATTTTTAATGAAAGTGAGAATGCTTATGTAAGCACTTGATGGGAGACTCCCATACACAGATGTGATCTATAGTGTATATAGTAAAGAGATCTGTGTAAGGCCTTGTGTTCCCAAGGATTTGCTTTCAGTGTTATGTTTAAAACCATTCATGGAAATAGATTGACATTATTTAAAATCTTTGTATTCCAAAATGAAACTTTGGAAACACCATTATTGCATGGTGAGCATCTTTTGTCGTATTTTTAATTGCAGCAGTGGAAGAAACAGGAGGAGATTCTTGGAAATACAGTTTGAGGGTAAGTATTGATTGAAAAAAAAATTGATAGGGAAATACTTAATGCTTCTATAACTCTTAGTAGAGAATGATATTTTGTTAAAGATTCCAAGCATTAAACCAGACAAATAGGAAATATAATTGTAGGAATCTGTATCTGAGAAGAAAGTACTTAATTAAATTATGAACTTTAACCTAAATTTTTGTTGTTCAGTTTGGGATTTGCAAACTGAATTTTTCTGCATTTTGCAGTCACATTGATGGAAAAGTAATTGTCAGTGCAGAAATAGGAAATGTTTTTGAAAATGAAAACTACTTCTCTTTGGCTAGAATGATTCCCACCCCACCCCCCCCAAAGTATTTCAGTAATTTTGAAGCTTTTTTTGATATGTTATTTCTTGTACCACCAAATGTGATTCTGAGACCAGCCCACTGCTTTTAATTTTAGAATGCTTTCTTTCTTTCTTTTTTTTTTTTTAAGATTTTATTTATTTGTTTGATAGAGAGAGACACAGCGAGAGAGGGAACACAAGCAGGGGGAGTGGGGGAGGGAGAAGCAGGCTTCCCGCGGAGCGGGGAGCCCGATGTGGGGCTCAATCCCAGGACCTGGGATCATGACCTGAGCTGAAGGCAGACACTTAACGACTGAGCCACCCAGGCGCCCCTTTAGAATGCTTTCTAGAATGCTTTTCTAAGCACACATTTTTTTTTTTTTTAAAGACTTTATTTATTTATTTGAGAGAGAGAGAATGAGAGACAGAGAGCATGAGAGGGAAGGGGGCAGAGGGAGAAGCAGACCCCCCGCTGAGCAGGGAGCCCAATGCGGGACTCGATCCTGGGACTCCAGGATCATGACCCGAGCCGAAGGCAGTCGCCTAACCAACTGAGCCACCCAGGCGCCCCTAAGCACACATTTTTTTATATGGCCAACATTTGAGGAAAAATTTTTTTTTTTTTTTTAAGATTTTATTTATTTATTTGAGAGAGAGAGAATGAGAGAGAGCACACATGAGAGGTGGGAGGGTCAGAGGGAGAAGGAGACTCCCTGCTGAGCAGGGAGCCCGATG